GGTTTGGCAGAAAAAGGGCAATCAGTTAGAAAATTTGGGAGTTGAGTTTATCATCAAGTGATAATCATTGTTTGAATTTGAAAAAGGTTTATAATTTATCAGGTTTCAAATCCAGATTTTTTTTAAAGAATCCATCTTAAATCAAAACACTAGTCATGCTTAAATTCTCGTGTATAAATAGATCCTCAATACACAATAGAAAAGAATCAAAAGAAAAGAAAAACATGTGTAGCAATCTAAGTAACAAAAAATTGAGAGAAAAGGAAAAAAAGTTTCTGTTAGGGTTTTTTTGGAATTTGGAGAAGTTGTTAGCTTGATTTGGGAGTAGTTAATGTTTTAAAGAGTTTCAGAAGGTTAAAAGGGTGATTTGGGAAGTTTTTGCAAATTTTTTTGAATTTTTGGATTTTTTTGGAATTTTTTAATTTTTGACAAACATTTCAATGGTTTTTGAATTTTTTTGGTGGAATTCTTGCTACAATCCCAGAAATTGATGATTATTTTCTAGAAATTGATAAATATTCAACTAGTTTTAGAGAAAGAAAAACAAGGAAAAAGAAAAAAGAAAAAGAAAGAGTAGGAAAAGAATATGAAAAAAAAAAACAAAATTTTGGGGCTTTTATACCATAGCAAAACAACGTTGTTTTACCCTTCCAAGATCCGAGCAAGATCCATGCGTCGCCTTATTTTTAGCCTGATCCATAATGCACCCAACCCTTGTCCATGGAGTTGGTTTGCTGTTGAGCCGGCTTAGCCTTGAGCCGTTTTCACCTAGGCTGTTCTTTTATGCCTTAAACCGCCTACTCTAAGCCTTCAAGCTGAGTCACCTTTCTGGTATATTTTCTTATTTATTTAGTTAGTTATTTAGCTATTTGTTTGTTTGTTTGTCTTCCATATATGTGTTTTATTATTATTTATTTATTTGTTCTTCATTTATTTGTTATCTATCATTTTGTAAATATTTTTAAAAAAAATTTAAAAAGAGAACCTTGCCAATATATTGGAGAGTTTAAAATTTTAAAAATGAAACTTTTTTCAAACAAAAAAAAAGAACCTTACCAATTTATTGAAGGGTTTAAGTTTTAAAAAATATATATATAAATTTTTAAATAAAAGCTTACTCTTACCAACATATTGGAATATTTAAAATTTTAATAAATTATTTTAATTAAATAAATCCTTATCAACATATTGGAAAAAAATTTTAATTTTAAAATAAGATTTTACCAACATATTGTAGAATGGGTTCAAGTTTTTAAAAAATATAAATTTTTACATAAAAACTGACTCTTACCAACATATTGAAAAATTCAAATTTTTAATAAAATATTTTAATAAAATAAAGTAGTACCAACATATTGAAAGGTAATTTTAATTTCAAAACAAGGCTTTACCAATATATTGGAAAGCTTTATGAATTTTTTCATAAAAAATAAAGTTAAAAAAAAAAAACAAAATAAAAATAGTTTTCAATAAAGCCTTACCAACATATTGAAAGGCAATTTGATTTTCAAGATAAAATTTTATCAACATATTGAAAAACCTTATGATTTTTAAATAAAAATTAAATTTTAGAAAAAGAAAAAAATAATTTTCATAAAATTCTATTAATATATTAGAGGATAATCTTTAACAAAAAATCTCATCAACATATTGGAAGATATTTATGAAAATAGAGAGTTTTTTTTACAAAGTTAGATTTTGAATTTTCGATAATGAAATTACTAAGAGCATTACAAATTGCAATCTCTATATAAATTCTTAGGTAAAAAATCCTTTTTAAATTTAACCAATGTATTGGAGGATTTAGATAACAATTTTTTATACCAAGATTATAAATCTCATTTGATTATCACTATCTAAAGTTTTTTTATAAAATATTAATGAATCCAACAATGGAGTTTCTTTAAAACGTGACAAATAGTCACATTGAATATTTTTGAAATGAAAGAATGTTCTTAAATTGTTACTAACATATTGGAGTAATTTAAGGATAATTTTTTATATTAAATTATTTAGTAAGATTTTTAAGGCTCTTGGATAACAAAAAATCAACTGGTACCATCCTTTGAGTGGGTGAGTAGGGATGTTATAACTTTTCTCATATATAATCATACTTTTGAACCTAGTCATAGTTTCATAAACATGAATCTACCATTTAAAGATACTCGAGTTAAGCTTAAAACTTTTCTTTAAAATGAGATAAATTCAATTAGATAGTTAATTACACCTAAACAAAAAATATTGGTAATGACTCTTAAAGTCATGTCTAGCAATAGGTCATAGATTTACACGTTATGACATTCATAACCAAAAATCCCACTATTTCCTACAAAATCACAACCCTTCTATCACAGCAAAAACCAATTTCTAGCCAAAAACTCACGTTGCACAATCCTCCCAAAATAAAAAATCATCTTGTTTCCTTTAAAAATCATAAAAAAAAAAAAATACATCATAGTTAGAAACCCAGTAGTAAAAAAAACTTATAAAACAAAGTTTCAAAAAATAAAGAGGAGGCAATACTGTGAGAGAGTTTAAACTTTAGCAACCATAAAAGAAGAAAAAGAAGAAATAGAAAAAAGAAAGAAAGAGAAGAGAAAAAAGATAAGAAATAAGAAAAGTCTCTACTAAAAAAAATAAGGAAAGAATCAACAACTGGGAAGGAAAAGAGAAAAAGAGAAAAAAAAGAAAGGAAAAAAAGAGAAAAACATAGAATAGGAAAAAAAATAACTCTCGGCTAGGCTGCTCAGCGAAGAGAAAGAGAAAAAAAAAAGAAAAAATTTTGGTGTCTGCTAGAAAAAGAAAAAAGGAATGGTAAAAAAAGAAAAAAAAAATGAGGGAAGTTAACAAGGTCAAACCCGACCCAACCCGTGTCTAGGATTGATCCGACTTGATCCAGTTTCTTTTGGGTTCAATAGTTGGTTTATTAGATAGTTAGGCTATTTGACACCCAATCCAATCTCTTTTGGGTTTACAGTGGGGCTCAACAATGGGGTTTTTTGGTAGATCTCAAGTTTTGGGTTATTGCATAAGAAGTCATTTGGGTATGGTTTCTTTTCTTAAATATTTATATCATATGTACACATTATATGTTGTAATTTAAGGAAATGCATGCATAGAGATAAAATAATTTTTATGAAACCAAGAATTGCAAAGACTCCTGTTAATGTTGCATTTTCGCAAAGTATTTCAAATTGAGATAATTACCATCATTATTTTAGAAATAAATTAGGATGATATTTTTCAATAAAAATTTTGATTTTAGAAACCCTGTCTAAATATTGAAGGAAATTTAAATCATGTTTTGAAATATTAATTTTCTTAAAATTTTGCCTAAATATTGGAGAATTAAAAAAAGTTTTCCTTCACACCAAAATAATAATAAAATTATTTCACCTTTGATTTTCTTTAACAAAAATCACAATAGGAAGTGAGGTTAAATGCATATAAGATAGGTCAAGTTGGTTAATTATTGAATTTACATCATTTACTTATTTCTTGTTACATTATGACTTGAAATAAAAAAATTGTGAATTAGTAATTGACAATTTTAAAAATTAGTTTTTTAAATAATGGTTAATATCCCTACATGAAATAATCGTTGAGACCCTACTTAGATATTAGAGAGCTTTTCAATAATTATATTTTACAGAGAAATATTACTCAAAATTTAAGGAATATCATAAGAATTCTAAATAAAGAAAAATTTTCCAAAATTCCACTTGAATAATGGGAAATTAGAAAATATTTTAAAACTAAGAATTCTCATTTTATTCTTAAATAAAATGAAGTAAATTTAAATATATGTTAGATAAATTTAATTGGTTGTCTACATTTTAATTTGTATTCACATCATACATTTGTTCCATATGATATGTGTTTGCATTTTCATTGCTTTCCAAAAAATTAATAAATGGTGGTTTTTGGAAAACTATTTTAAAAATAAGCAAAACTAATTTTTTAAGTAAAAAATAATTCTTATGACCCTACCTGAATATTAGAGGGCTTTTCAATAATTATTTTTTATAAAAAAAATATTATGTGAAATTTTTGTAAATTAGTATCAAAGTCTCAGGTAAAAAAATATTTTTAAAATTTTATCTAAATATTGAAAAACTAAAAAAAAATTTTATACTAAAAATTTTCATCTTATTCCTAAATAAAAGGTTTTAGAAAATATTTTTACAAGAAAATGAAATTTGAAGGAATTATCAGTATAAAGGATAACATACGATCAATTAATACTATTTTTAAAACGAGTATTATGGGAGTGCTAATCTTTTTTTTTTCGTAGATCAAATGAAAATTTATTCTTTTAATAAGTTTTAATTAATTTTAAAATTTTATTAAAAAAATAAATTTTTTAAGTGACAAATTAAACGTAGCTAAAGAAATTTATGGCGACTCCTTTTATTTTAAAACTTTTTTTAAAATTTTCGTTTGGCTTTCTTCAAAATTGTTGTAATAAGATTAATGTTATGAATTATCTTTAAATTAAAGTGAAATATTTGATGTGATTTTTAAATTTTAAAAATTTTTAATAAGATATATGAATCATGAATTTAATAATTAATATAAATAATATTCATTCTTAATGTAAGTAGCATGAAATAATAACAAAAAATAGATAAATAACTTTTCTAATATCATATTAATTAATATATTAATAATTCAAATATCTATTATTATAATAAAAAACTACCGGTAACATTAAATTTTTTATAGCTTAACAAAAAAGGGCCCTGAATTCAAAAATAATAATAAAAGAAGCCACGGGGCCCAGACGGGAACCCTACACATCAGTAGCCACTGGCCTGTCGCTATCACTACACGTGCCAGTGGTGCCCAATAGCGACGCACCTAATTGGCTAATCTGGACACTTTTGCCTCCCTACACCAAACTGAACTTTTATGCCTTTATAAACCCTCATCACCCTTTTCTACTCTATAAAAAAAACTTTCAATCCCTTTTTTTTTATATAATTTTTCAATACCAATTATTGTAAAATTTTTAATTTTTTTAATCTCTTGCCACTGCAGTCTACAAGTTTTCTTCTGTGTGACAACCATGGAAGAGCAAATAATCTCACCATCTTCACCTCCTTCATTGGTCTCCTTTTCCCAGGAAACTCCACCTTCAACTCTCCAGCACAGGCTCCAATTTGTACTTCAAAGCCAGCAAGATTGGTGGGCATATGCAATTTTTTGGCAGACATCAAACGATGACCATGGCCGTCTGTTCTTGGCTTGGGCCGATGGTCATTTTCAAGGCACCAAAGATACCCCTCTGAAATTAAGTGCCAATTATCCCAACATTCCGGGCTTAAACAATGAACGAAGAAAGGTGATGAAAGAAATCCAGGCCCTCGTTGGAGACAACAATTGCATCGATATGTCGATGATCGACGGCACTGATAACACTGATGCTGAATGGTTCTACGTGATGTCATTGACTCGATCATTCTCTGTTGGAGATGGGATTCCAGGCAAGGCTCTTAGTACTGGCTCTTTGATTTGGTTAACTGGTGCTCATGAGTTGCAATTTTACAATTGTGATAGAGCTAGAGAAGCACAAATGCATGGCATTGAAACACTGGTTTGTATACCAACTTCCCGTGGGGTTCTTGAACTAGGATCCTCAGAAATGATCAGGGAAAACTGGGGTTTAGTCCAACAAGTGAAATCCCTATTCGGGTCCGATCTCATTGGTTTGGTACAAAAACAATCGATTCCAAATCCAAATCTAACCGCAGCTCCTATCCAGTTCCTTGACAAAAACATCTCTTTTGCAGATATCGGCCTAATTGCCGGTGTTGAAGAAGAGAACCACAACAACCAAACCAATTCCACAAAACCTGGGCAATCTTCTTATGTGGACTCGAAGCTTTCAGATTCTGATTGTCCATTACCAGCCATGAAAAATAGAGAGAAGAGAAGCCCAAAGAAACGCGGAAGAAAACCAGGGCTCGGCCGAGAGACACCGTTGAATCACGTGGAAGCTGAGAGGCAACGCCGTGATAAGCTGAACCACAGATTCTACTCCCTCCGAGCTGTAGTCCCGAACGTGTCGCGCATGGACAAAGCATCGCTCTTATCTGATGCTGTCTCATACATCAAAGAGCTAAAGACGAAAATTGAAAAACTGGAGTCACAGCTTCAGAGAGAGTGTAAGAAAGTGAAGGTAGAAATGATGGATGCTATGGATAATCAAAGCACTACCACTTCTGTGGATCAGGCAGCCAGGTCCAGCAATTCATCCTCTGGAACTGCTGGCTCTGGTGGCCTTGAACTTGATATCAAGATTTTGGGAAATGATGCAATGATTAGGTTTCAATCAGAAAATGTAAACTATCCAGCGGCCAGGTTAATGTCTGCCCTTCGTGATCTTGAGTTTCTGGTCCATCATGCGAGCATGTCGTGTGTTAACGAGCTCATGATCCAGGGTATTGTAGTGAGGGTTCCTGATGGATTGAGAACTGAAGAAGGCCTCAAATCTGCTCTTCTCAGGAGGCTAGAGCAGTAAGGCTAATCAGTAAGATGAAGGAAATTTTGTTTTTAATGCTTTAATTTTTTTTCCCCAGTTCTTGTGTTTTTGGTTGATTTTCCTTTCAGCTTTATGTACTGTTTGTCATGTAATAAAGGATGTAAAATTGAGCAGCTTTCTTTTTTCTGTTCAATTTCAGATTTAATAATTTCAAATATTATACAATAATAAAATTTAAAAATAATAAAATTTAAAATTTTAATAAAAATTTTATATGAAGTTTTTAAAAAATAATTTATGATTAAAATATTAATATTAATTATAAAACGATAATTTTTATATTTTATATTTATCTGATATAAAATAATCATGTTATGAAGTACTTTCTTTTATCTAAATTTTTCTACATGTTTTTTTTATGTGACTGTTCCCCAGTCTATGACAGTTTGAGCTTCAAAAGACACCAAACCTTAACGAATAAACCTAAAAAACAATAAAAAAGAACTACCCCCGGCTGTTCGCCCCAAAACAAAACCAAAAAATATATATATTATTGTACATTGATAGCACGTTCATTGATCTATACATGCCCGTTCATTTTATATATATTTTGAAGTTTTTAATTTATTTTTTAATTTTTTATTTTATTATTTAGATGATTGAAAAATATATATTATATATAATTTTTTAAATTCATAACTTTCAAACAATTACATGTCAATTGCTAAAAAGTCAATCAACATGTATATATAATTATTTGTAGCAAAAGAACAGTCCAAATTAAATAAAAAAATCCGTGTGTTAATTTCCCCTGCCAAAAAAATCCAATAGTCCCAAGTTTTAGGATAAAATAACAAAGAACTAAAAGGATGTTGGGTTTTTAACAAAAAAAAGGAGAGGTTGGGAATCTTCGACCCCACTTCACCAATTATTAAATATGGCCCTGGCTTGTAAAATGTTGTGCTTCTGCAGAGGATATGGTCATCGATAATTTTGAATTATAATATAATATATAAATTATAAATTTATTAATTAATATAAATTATTGTGTAATATTAATTATATTAATAATAAAAATTATTTTAATTAATAAATTAATAATTTAAATATTACATTAAATATTTTATTATAATTTTTTTAAAATTATTTGAAACGTACATTGAAAAGAACAACATAGAAACGTACTAGTACTTCTTCATCTAGCCTTGTAGCTATCCTTGTTGGCTATTGTTTTTTGTTTTCGGGTGATAAAGAAATGAAAGCAGCCGATAAAGATATAGATGGTGGACAATCGTTGAGAAATGCAAGGACAGGACCATCTATATTTACAAAGAAAAAAGAATGAAAAAAGCTTATGGTCGGCAGGGGCAAGCAGAGCCACAGGCCCAAATTTTCAATTTTTTTTTTTTTTTTACAGTATCCGGTACTATTAACATTTTATTTTAGCCTCATTTCTTTATTAAAATTATTGTTCGACCCCTTTCCATTTTCTGACTTTGTCTCTATTATCAAGGATTAGTAAAACTATTAGCACATATTTATAATTTAATTTTAATCAAATTAATTGATTAATTATTAAATTAATTTTAATTGATTAATAAAAATAATTTTTTTAAAAAATTTAATTTTTGATTAATCTAATTCAAAAATTAAATTAATCAAAATTTTAATCAAAAAATAATAAAATCTAAATAAAAATAAAAATATATGAAATGCATCATTTCAATATATAAATTGTTAGAATTTTTAATAAAATATTTTAGTATTTAAATATTTTATTAAATAATTTTATTTAATTTATTTAAAATTTAAAAAATTTAAAATTTAAAATTTAATTTAATTTAAATATATTTATTATTTAATTAATTGAAAAAATTAATCAAATCGATTGAATTAAATTTGATCGATTTATTTTTTAAAATTAATAAATTCAATTCTATTAATAAAAATAATATAATATAATTCAATTAATTTAATTTTAAATAATTTAATCGAAATTAACCGAAAACTTAATGGACCATCTCTATCACCAACTAAAATTCGGCTCCTCGGCAAAAACCAATTTTAAACTAAATTATTGATAAGACACAAATTCGAAAACTCACCTCTTTGTTAGCATTTCTACAGTTTTGAGACATCTTCGAATCTCGAGAATAACATAATGATCTCTATCCATTTGAATGGATAATAAAATAAAAAATAACAATGGGATAAGATTAGCGATAAAATTAAATATTAAAATTAAATTAATGATAAAATATATATTCTTATAAAAATACAGTAATAATAATAAGATTAAATATGACAGTGAATTTAAATGGGATAATAGGTTGTTTATAAACATCTCAAAAATTATAAGACAAGAAAATTTTAAAAAAAAATTTTAACATCTAAAATTTTTTTTATAAATATATTTTTTATCAATAAAATTGATAAATCGATTAATAATTTTGTATATAAATTAAAAGTGAATATTCTCAAAAAAAAAAAATTTAATCTTTCACTAACACTCTATTATCATAATTAAAAAATGTCTTAAGTTTCAATTTTACACTAAGACATGCAATTGACTATCTTAAGATTCAATGAACCATTTCCCTTTAATCTTCAATTGAAAGGGGAGGAGCTCAATTGTTTTGCGAAATGCTATCCAGATATAAACTTAAAAGTAGTTGATCTAAAAAATAGCATGGATTTCATCTGGTGTGATGAAATCCAAGCAAGCCTAAATTAGCTTTACAGATGATTTTACTGATTAATTATTAGGAGGAAACGAATTTTTGCTGTGGTAAATAAATTGCCTTTCCTCTACCTAACCACTTGTTCAAAAGGATTCTTACATCTTGGTGATAAGGTGCAGGGGATGCCAGCGTTGCATTCAAAGGGGAACATAATTGGTGTCAGGGAAGGGTACATCAAACCTTTGCTCGAATTCAGCTAAGTCATGATGATATATCAAAATCGTCATCAAGGGATAATCTGGTTATACTAGTACTAATAATAGTAGTAATTTTTTTTTATTTTTTAATAAATTTTAAACTTGGACCGTATTTTTATTAATTTTAATTATCCCAACAATTAAGTATATATGTTCAACGGTATGAGTTGGGGTCATAATTACACCTGTTAATTGGAGGGGTTGAGGTGTATTTGGATAATTCAGTTTGGGTTTTTTTTTTTAATTAAAAGAATTAAGTCAATTTTGAGTTAAATCATTTTAAATTTGAGTTATTTAGAGTTTAAGTTATTTTTTACTCGAACCATTATGATTCTAGTCATTTTAATTCAAATATTTGGAGTTTGATACACAGATTATTTGGGATTAGGTCATTTAAGTTTGAGTCATTTTAAATTCAATTTATTAATTTTTACAATCAAATTAGATTAAATTTAAATAGAGTATTTGATAGAATTCGAATAAAATTTTATTATACTTTTATTAAAAATAAAAAGAAAAAAATAATATTTTAATAATTTGTATGCTTTAAATTAAAGTTAATATTTATATAAATAAAAAAATATGATTTTATTAGATTTGATAAATTTAAATATGATATAATGATGTAACACCAAAAGGATACAGCAAAAACCTTATTGGTTTTTAAAAAATTGTTCCATATTTAGTAGTATGGACACAAATTTTGACACATGAAAAATACAAAAAATCGTTTAATTAAATCGAGCCATAAAATTATACATATTAGACACGAAAAATTTGTTTGTCACGTTTGACACTTTTAATAGTTTTTAATATTTATTTTAACTTAATATAAAAGATATATAAAGACTATTTTAAATTTTTAATTATAACACATAATTACATATTTAATATAATCTTATAAAAAATATTTTAAATATTTATTCATGATACACATTTAATATGCAATTATTTTTTATATTAATAATATAACTATAATATAAATAATCATTTTAGTATAATTGTAATTTATTGTTTAATAGCATATTATTTTGGATTTTAGTATAATTGTAGCCCATTATATAATTTATTCTAAATTACATGATTAAAAATTAATAATATAATTATTACATAAACATAACGTATATTCGCAAATTAATGACTTATTTTATATATTTTATTTTACATCACAATATCCATGTATAATTATAAAAAATTATATAATTTATTTTAAATGATACATTAATATGTATACCAATGATAATTAAAAATATATAATCTATTTTAAATTATATTATAAATTATAAGAAAAGTTTAAGTAGTATAATATCTAATTTATACTAGTTTATATTAAAAAAATATTAATTTGATATTTTAAATAATATAATAAGTTATCATTTGTATTATGTTTATTACTTTTATTTGTGTTATATTTATTATTTTTATTAAATTAATGTTTTTAAATAAATTTATACTTAATTTAGTCTCAGATTAATTTTTTTGGTCATTTCGGTTTTTTATCATTCCAAGTTCTTGTCATTTCAGTTTTGAGTTATTTGAGTTTGAATCAATTGTTGTTTAAATTTTTCAATTTCGAGTTAGACAGATTTAGGTTGTCGACCTTTTATAAACAAATCAAATTAGGTCAGATTTTGATTAGGTTGAATTTGACAGATTTTTTGAATTTGAGCCAGAATTATTAGTTTTAGCGGTAATTCGTATAGCATAATATATATATATGTATATACGAGTAGAGATTAACTTATAAAATATAAATTTGTTTTAGTTTTATATATTTTTCTAACCTTTAATTTTAATAAATTCAAAAAATAAGAGAAACAAATAAAAATAAAAAAAATTCATTCATTTTGTCCAATTTGAGTTACAAGCAAAGGAAGTCTTAAACAACAAGTTGATTTATGCTCATCCAATGTAAAAACCTTTTTTTTTTTTTTTAATGTTTTTTACATTCATTTGAGTTAGATTGTTGCCTTCGCTTTGTCCAGTGATTTTTTTTACCTTGAAAGATTTTCTAATATAAATTTTTATCAAACTTATTTTAAAATATAATTTTAAATTATATTATATTAAAAAATAACTATTTATTTAAATATTTTATATACATATTAATATTAATACAATCATATTTTGTTAATTATGAAAATTAAATATATAAACGTTAATTATTTACAAATTATATAATAAAAAGCATTTGTAAATTTAATTTATCTGCATTTTTTAAAA